CCAAAGATCCATCGCCTACCAAAACCGTTCGGACAGACGTTGCCGGTATTCCATGTTAATGATTCTACTTAGATGCCGTACACAACTGCGCCAGATTGCTTGCTCTGGAGTTAGTTCCCATGACTTGTCCCACGTATGTGCGCTGCCTTTTCGAAAGCCCACCAAAAAGTACAGTCGCTGATAAGTGCCACTCATCGGTTGTCGGCAAGGCGAGCAACATATCCTGCCTATCAGATTTTACTTTCTTCAGCGGTCCCGGTAATATCCTGTACGCCAATGTATTTAGAAAATAGAGCAGAAGTCAAAAGCAAGTCTTAGTGCCCTATAATTAACCTCCCCATTTTGAATTTCTTTTTTCCTTCAACTACCTCTTCCTTTTCCTCTGCATTTTTTATTTACTGCTTTTCATCTTCCACTGGATCTTTCCGGTACACTTGTTCCAACACCACAACTGTCGTACTGCCGACGCCCAGTTATAGTGAAGAAAATGAATATGTGCGACTTATTGGACTGAAACATTCCTTCTGGCTTTAGCCGTGTAATAATACTTTCCTTTATTTATTAATATTTTCTCCCTACTACTCCGCACAGTTAATTTTTACTTTATCAGTTTTTACTAATTCTATCCTTTCATCGCCCCCAGGTATTACTTTTTACTTATTTTTAGGAGCATTTTTGCCAGAATCTTTGCGGAATATTGCATGGCCAGTGCTCAGTTTCTCGATTATCATTTTGTACCATTTCATAGTACTGCAAACAATTGGACTGGTAAGCTCAGTGACTTTCCACTCTGTCAATTTTCTAATCTTATCAAACAAAACAATTTCTGCTTTTTATTTAATTTTACTTCTGCGGCCAGTCTTAGATCGTTAAGAAAGAACCGTTTCATCCCGGTGACTTTGACCCGTGTTGCATCGCTTGATGGCCAGCTTTCTGGCTTTCTTTTCGTCATTTGAGGGAATCTCCCCACAGAAACAATTTGGCAAGGCTTTAGCCATTCGGAGATTCAACGGTGCATATTAAACGTCACCATCTCATTCCCAAACAATCCTGGACCACTTCGAGGTACTTGCTGCTTGGGAGAACAAGTCTGTATCACGTGAAAATTCCAGCTGACGCAAGTGAACGTGAGCTGTATATTATGTCCAGCTGTCAGTGATCCATTCCGTGGTCGATTCTATCGCTTGGCCGTCGTAGCTCACCAAGGGGTTCTGGTACCACTTATCACCAAAATTTACAACAGCTGTGCCGTGACCATCATTCAAGCGATCCAGTGGTGTTGCTGCAACTTCTGTGATACAACCAGTACTGCTAATGACTGTACGAATTTGTTCAAAAAGCTTAGATGATGATGATGTTCATGATGATGTTGGTGATGATAATGATAACGGGTGTGATGATGATGGTGATGATGTAGGGATGATTTCCAGGACCGCTGTATGTGTATCGAGAAGGAAGGGAAAGGGATATGCGAACAGAGTATGAATTTGTTGACCGATCGATAGCCACACTCTGATCAGACAAAAATTTGCATGAAAATTGTTACCTCATCATGTGAATAAAGTTAAACTTCTCTCTTTCAAATGAAATGGACACATATCACAGTGAATAATCTTCAGTATTTCTCTGATCAGCTGTTGTTTCATCGTTGCGTTTCTTCTGACCGTTGCTGCTGACCAGCTATCTCCATTCTACTGTACTTTTGGATAATATGCACTGAAAAGATAAAAGAAATACGCGTAAAAAAGTAACAACATATAATTGGAAGGAATCAATTAATAAAGTAATTGGTTCCAGTGGGTTAATAATTAATTGAGTTTCTTAGTTGATTAAAGTATACTTATGGCAGGAGCAGCTAGAATATTTTGAAATAATTCTCTACGATTTATTAATAATTTTTAGCTGTTTGGGTGCATCAGTGATTGTTCGCCAGTTTTTATAGGTCACGTATTCTGCCCGCACTGATACTATCAGAACTGTATGCGGCGGAATGTTATCTGAGATAAAGACGTTTCGGTCCATCGGTGATTTCAAAGGCGAACGCTTGCGGATTTTTATAGGTCATAAAAGCCATCGCCAATGATGGTGCCAGGAATGAGTGCAGTGCACCAGCTGGCGAGCATGTGCAGCGCAACATTCCTGGAATAGTCGTCCCAGTGCCCTTTTGCACCGCGACGATGCACCTGTCCGCCTGGATTGCTCTGCCTCAGTGGTCCTCGCTCCCTCGCTCGCCCTCCATCGATCGCCGGGAAGGAACACTGTTCCAGCAGCAGCATGGCTGTGGCGGCCGCACTAGCAGCAGCAGCAGCACTTCCCTCCGCTAGAGCAGCTCTATTTGGACGCTGTTCACTCGTCGCGACAGCACGTCTACCAGCAGCAGCAGCAGCAGCAACCACTGCACTCAGCGGGATCTACTGCAGAAATTTCGGGAGTTCGAGGTGGTCTTCTTTTCTCCAATTGGTACCCGTTACTAAGAAAACGGTATGTGCGCCACGCCCCTCAGTGCCCAGCAAACCCTCTCCCTCCACCGACTCCCGCAACCCTCCAGCTTGCTCTGATTGGCGCGCCCTGAAGCAGTGAGTAACCGTTCCACGTTCATATTTTGTGTGCAGCCTGCAGCTGTGCGTGCATATTGAGAGGTCCAGACTGCTCCGTCTAGGAAGTTCTTAGCCTTCTGGCTGCCGATCAGCGGCTGTAGGACTGGGCCAGAGGCACGCTGCGTATTGTAACCGGTTTTTGTTTCGCCTCATTTCATTTTTTTGCTCCCACATTTTTTTAACTGCATAGTTGCATGCAATCTTTACTGCATTTACCAACCGCTGCTCAGGCTGACATTGGTTCATGGCACGCAAGCGTAGCTGGACATAATCCGGCGCACTGTGCCGGGGTTTATGTTGTATTGTGCCTCGAAACTGCTAAGTTAGTTGCTAATTCCATGCAGAGTGCTATAAGATGAGGTACCTGGGTTAGATTTTTGTAAGAGAGCAATACAACGAAAGGTCCTCGAAGGGGCTTTTTTGTGAGCTGTAAAAATCACTGTCGGTTAAAGTGACGTGCAGGACAAATCTGATGGCATGAAATGCATAATAGCAAATATACATTTTACAAAATTTGCATATATATATATATATATATCAGGGAGGGGAACATTTTAAAAATACATGTATTTTACACATAAAATAGGTGGATGAAAGATTTGCTCATGTAAAATACGGTATACATCTGATGCGGTAAAAAGTGCACTTTACCGTACATTTTTTCTGCATCTCTACCGTAATCACTTTTAACTCCCCCGAAAACCCATCATGCACACAAATTTTGGAATACGTGTAAAATGCATAACTTCACCTTGCACTGACAATCTAACTACATGTGTGAATTACGGGAAATACAGTTATTCATGTTTGATATATACGTATAAAATATAAAAATTATAAAATAACCAGATGAACAGGGCCCATGAAGTCGCATACATTCCTGTTCAGCACCACAACTACCTTTAATATCAGTACGACGATTGTGGTGTTAGTAATGGCTAAAATGCAAACTTGTACGGAGCGCAAGTGGTAGTAGTTAAAATAACAATAAGAACATGTAGCAAATAAAATGTTTATGTATTAGTTAAAACGTTTTGGTCCATTAAGTTGCATATGTTTTGACTCAGCGCCACAAACGTCAGTTGCAGAAATCTTGAAAATGTGAAATCTTGGAAATGAGCGGTGCGCTGGTACAAACTTTTGTGTCTTTTCAATGTCCAGAATTTTCCCGTTTTTTTTTTTTGCCGCGCTGAATGAGAAAACTGTCTACGCTACGCGTGCCCTCTCGTTTCGGTGTAACGGCTTCGCTTCTTCGAAACCACACAGTTAACACCACTTGTTAGAAATCACACGATCAATTCCGTGCATTTTGCAAATTTCGGCGACCTGTTGTTGTTATCTCAGTCGGCAGCAATCTGGTTCTCTGGAGCAATCCGTCTGCTCCGCTCTGCCAGCATCTAATCGCTGCACTTTGCTCGAATACATACGCTGCTCTCGTCCGCTTCCTTTTTCTTTTCCTTATAAAAACTAGTCATCGAGGCACCACGGCGAGGTGAAGGAGGGGGGCAGCGGGCAGAGGGTGTTTAAGTGGCAGGGTGTTTTAGTTAAGTGGAAAAAATTGCCGTCAAAGCATCTGTCAAATTTTGACTTCGGTCCAAGAGAGAGAGAGAGGAGTTAGTCTTTTGGTGCCGAAGTCAAGTTTAACACTTGATCCAAATGTAAAGTTACACCGTTGGACCAAAATTCGGATTTGACCCTCGATCCGAAAGTCGAGTTTGATTCTTAACCCAGAAGTTTTGATATTGACTCCTAACTCTGACATCTGATCGTTGAGGTGGTGGTGAGCTGAGGCGATGCTGAATTGAGGCTTCTGGCTCGGTTGAAAAATATGGCACGTAAGAAAGTGTATGAACTCCTATCCCCTCCCCCTGTCCCGCTCCGTCTTTCCTCCTGCCCTTCCCCTTCCCCCTGCACTCCTCGCTTTCTCACCTTGTATGTTTAAGATGAATAGAATAGAGACAAACCGGGTACGGATACTTTTCATGTGATAAAAGTAAATGTCAAAATTCTCCTCGCTCTCTCTGGTAGTATCTCGGAAGTAGCAACTGTCAACAGCAAATACTAGCTGGCCGAAAGGTGGTTTCTCATATGATAGGCTAGTAATATCGTACGAGCATACTATGAGTATGAACTTTGATGCTTTTCATGGGCTCGAAAATGCATGTGAACTAAATGGAAGAATCAAGGGAAAGTAGATGAAAATGAGGGAAGTAAAGGAGGTGAAAGGGGAAGCAAGAACGCTTCGGTATTTTTTAACTCAGTGCCTCGCACTGGGCCTCACATCGCTTCTCACGCATGACTGCTTGCATCAGTTTGCTGCAAGTACACATAGCCCCCTCTCCACCCCCCCCTTCCTCGCTCACATGGGCTTCTCGTGCGCATGCACTGCTATTCTAATTTTTGTGAGGAAGCAGTGGAGGGCGGCAATGATTCCTGCTTTATGACATGCTGGTGGTTTGTTCTGGGGCGGTTGTTTCGGATTCGGTGCGTTCCCAAACTCATTCCATCCTTTGTCTTTGTTGTTGGTTGTGACTGAATGAGTTGGCTCAGTTCTGTTCAGGATTGGCTCTTTTTTGCGGAAAAAGCGTACGCCATAATGCATTTGTTACTAGTAGCTGTGCTAACACAGATTCTCTGCTTTACACCGAAAAAATCAGTGACCGCGGAAAGTGCCGTCGACGAGCAACAGTGAGTGTTTCCACCCTCCCGTTTATGCTTTTCCTCAAAAGTCCTCTGTTGTGGCTCCCCAAACTCATCCCATCCTTTGTCTCTTTTGTTCCATGAGGATCAGGAAGTGAGAAAGGATGGAGAGGAACTGAATGTTCCGAATGAAAAGGAGGGCCACTGAAAGGCATCTGCACACTGATTGTTGCCTTGGTGGCTCTTATCAGAAGCTGTCAAAATGGCCAGTCAAACGGATGGCACAAACAGTTAAATTAGGTCCAAAAGGGAGGGAAAAATTGGAGGTTAGAAGGAGAATAATGTAAGGAGCTGAGGGCGACTGAAGTCAAACATAGTATTTTTTCGGAAAACAAACGTTCCTCAGAATGAGCAAACCTTTGTGAAAGAACATCGGCCTCTTCCAGACCCAAGACTACACTCCCTTCCATCAACAAGCCAGCTTTCGTCGTGCAATATACGACGCGCAATCCGGGTTTTCGATGTACGGCTTTAAATTTGCTTTATTTTTCTGGACTGCTTGCTAATCTTTTTTTTTTTTTTTTTAAATACTGAAGAGGTCCAGTTGTAGCGCTGAATTAATTTGTATGCAACTGAATGGGTCGAAATATGTTTATGTTAGCTGAACTTTTAGTTCTTATGCTGTTTGATATTCCCAGTGTACTTCGCAATCAGCGGATATCTGCTCCTTAAATAGCGCTTATAAATTTGCTTAAACCTACAAAATTAATGGGCTGAAACATTCCTGTTCAGAGATCCCTCTTTTGATTCTGGTCAGACGAATTGCTCTTTTTTTTTGGTTTTATTTTACCTGCCAGCTGCAAAATTTCGACTAACATGGCACTATTTTAACGCTATTAATACTGACCTGTTTTGCACAGAAGCCCACCCTGTTATTACAAATAAACTCATACATACAAATGTACGCAGATACGAGCGCACACAAACACGAACTCTCATACACACACATACACTCTCCCACACACATACGCGG